GATTCGTTTCTTGCACTTTCGTTTCTTGCGGATTTCAATTCTTGCCGATTTGTACGGTCTCTGAAACGGCCGTTAACGGAAAAAACGACAATACGACGAATCAAAAAATTCCCAGAAGGAAACAATAGCAAAATAGAATTTTCCACTTGAAGTCCTTGAAAGTTGGAGTCTGTATGGAATCAGAAAGTAGCCAAAGTAAAACCGCACAAAGTGGATCTTCGAATTGTCTCGTTTCAGAACACTGTAAAGATCTTGAACGAAATTACAGGGAAATGAGCTAAAGATTAGTTTTTGAGAAACAAATAAAAATTTCTGGGTCTTTTTATACTATCTCGAAATTCAAAATACTATTCAAAATAGGATGAAAAATACGGTAGTTCTCCTTGCGCCTTTAAATTTTCTCTAACGGGACCCTTGTGGAAATTGTATCAAGTATTGAAAACCTCTGGAACAAGGCCTGAATTTGTAATGCGAATGATAGTTTTTGATTGAAAGTCGATTTTGACTTCATAATTTGATGTTCTCAAAATATACACTTTATTTAGTTGATTTAAAAGATAAAAATATGGGAAGAATTTATTTGAAATAGAGAAAGAATATATAGTTTTATTACATTGAAATGTTTAGATTCCAGGTGCATCATTAATGGTGACAGTTTGAATTTCAACATCTCCGTCAATTTCGAGAGTCTTGATGTCGCTTGGGGATCCGCGGTGGGCGAAGGTTGTAAATCTGAAGTACGAATCACTCTTGTGTTTTAAGAAAAGCTAAAGTTCTAACCTTCTGTTGTTGAGGAAGATTTGGAAAGAGAACTCCTCGTTGATGATAGTGATATCGAAGACTTGTTTCTTTTCAAGTGGCATCTTTCCTTCTCTCTCTTCCTTACCCCAGACATTGCTAGTCATGGCGTTTCTGACAATGGCTCCCTCGTTGTATCTGATGGAGACTTGAAGAGCATATTCCTTGTTCTCACGGTACAAATTGATATTCACACGCTTTCCTATAGAGAACAGTTAGAGAATACAAACAATAACTATAATTGAATACCTTTTGGAAGAGCAGAAATATCCAGTCTCTTCCCTGGAGTGAGTCCAGCAACGGCCATGTATGGATTTGGGAAGATTCTTCCTCCATAGTGGAAGAGACGAAGTTTGGAAAGATCTCCTCTGATCGAGACATGATCAATCTGTAACAAGATTTGAAATTTCTGTCATTGTATGAATAAACTGACTCCGTCAAGTGGAAGACGTTGAGTGAAGACTCCAACTTCGACACGGTTGGCGAAGACCTGGAACTTTCCATCAAGAACACGAACACGCAAATCGAATTCTTCTCCAGCCTTGAATGGATTGCTGATTCTTTGCTCATCCTCAGACCAGTTTCCGTTCTCGAAAGTGTTGTAGATCAACTTTCCGCTTCCGAGAAGTCCTGGAAATTAACTGTATAGGACAATTTACGAGCTCATAATCACCTTCGTTGAATCGGATGGAGAAGTGAAGTGGAAGATCAGCATCCTTGGCAGATCCCTTATGGAAGTTGAAGTCAACACGGGTTGGCTTATCAGAAAGAGTTCCGACGGCATGGATGGTTTGTCCAATGGCAAGTGGCTCACTAACACGGGTCTTGAAGGGAAGCTTCTGGAAATTACAGAGATTCAGATGGAATATTCCCTAGGAACTACTAACGTAATCTTGTTCTCCGATAAACTTCTTATAGTTGGTCTCTTTGAGATCAGAGGCATCTCCTTGGCAAGAGACCAAGGCTGCCAATGACAGGCAGATAAGTGTTCTGGTTATCATTCTGAAAGTTTGAGATTCAAAAGGTTCAAAACTCTAAAATCGAGAGAGGAAGAGTGGGTTACGTGACACTGCCAAAGCAAAATGACAAACTTTAGAAGATAGAATCAAGCTCTTGGGGTAGGACGAAGGAGGTGACAATTGGCAAGATAAATGTGTTGTTGATGCTGGAATCTCCGCCTTCTTCTCTACCAATTGATTCATTACATTACACCAAAAACTTTTTCTTGTTTTCCATTAGAGCTGACTATTTCGATCAGAGGCCATTATAAAAAGATATCAGAGGGGGCGAGGTGATAGTGAGCTTTGATCATAAAACGGACACCCAATAACAACAGAAATTGTTCTTTTTTCGAAAGGTGGTTGAGCTCCAGTGTAAAAGAAAGAAAAAGAAGAAGAGCTACATAAAAAAATAAATTCAAAGTTCAAAAGAAGAAAATATGTTTGTGTTGTATAGCAGCAGTGTCTCGAGGAAACAAACATCAAATGCGACATTTGATGGATTTACGATGTTCGTGGAAATTTTGGGATGCATGGCTGATGAAATCTCTGACTAATATTGAAAAAGCACTTGACAAGAGTGAGAGAGTTTCGAATCAAAATGAATACTCCTGAACAAGATGACATGGCTACTGTTCAGGATGATGGTGCACTATAACCCGGACTGATAATAATGAGTATATCCTCAGACATAAGTATATTGGAAGCACGAAAATTGGTAGAAATATGATTTTTCGTTGAATTCAAAACTGCTGAAATTTTCAAAGCAATTCGTCAAGTGTAGGTATTCTCGTGATTGTCCAAAGATGAATCGCGTAATTTTTCGGATTCTAAATTTCTTATGATTTTCATAAGACGGGACGGGGCAACTTTGACAAACGATATCTCAGCTCACAGTCTATAAGATTCTGTAAATCAGAAATTTCAAAATTACAAGAAAAGTGAAAATTGCAGGAAATCGAGATATTTCTAAATTTCTGAAATTCCATGAATATCAGAAACTTCTAAGTACGATAGCGAGATAGTAAAAAGAAGAAGAGGTTTAGAGAAAACCAGCCTGTTTGCCGTGCCTCCAACGCTTCAAACGTCTGACTGGTGCGCCTACGGCTCGTGTTCGTCGATTCGCTCCTCATATTTTGAAATCTAATTAAAATCTCTGATTTTTAATTTTTTAGACCTGACAACTTTTATAACATTTTATTGTAGATCAAATTTGGTCTCGTGGATTTTTCCACTTCTCTTCTGGGAAAAAAAAACGGAATGACAAACAAAGAAGAAAACAGACAGCACTCCATTTTTCTTATTCCACACTGGATTTCGAAAAGTTCCTGGCTTTCGAAAAGTCGAAAAATCGTTACCACTTCATTTGGATCCTCTTGCCCTTTCTGTTGGTAAAATACGAATAGATCAAAACGAGTACTATTTGACAAATAAGAGATCACAGGATTTCAACCCCCTTGACCATTTAAATTGTAACGAGACTAATTCAACATCCACTGATTGAAGGTACTGTATTGGCATCCACAATTTATGGAAGTGCCCAAGCTTTACTTGAAAAAATGTTGCTCGATTTAATTGGAAATCGGTCAATGATTTACACAAAGAAATTTAAATTTTTGGATCCATGGCTTTATCGATTTCCTGAGAATCTGAAAATTCAAGCAGAGATAATTGAAGACAGATGGTTCTACTTGCGTCATGGTGAGCTTTATGCCAATGTTTTATTCAAAAAAAGGGCTTTCAGCCGACCTAGACCGGATCGCAAACACTTTCGGACCAAAGCAAAAGCGGTGGAACAAGAGTTAAGGCAGATGAGAAGTTGGTTGTTTAAAAGCAATTCGAAATTCAAAAATTCAGATTTTTATTTTTCAGGTTCCCCAATACCTTATACTCGATATGCATACCCCAAACCAACGTCCCAAATACAGAAATTCAATTTTCACTCATCAAAATTTCATCAAATAATCCTAAATTCCAAATTCATCTGAAAATTCAACCACCAGGAACTGCAATCCCCGAACAATCCGATTCGATGTATTGGGAATCAAAATTATGGGAAATTCGAAAATTTTGTCAATCTGGTGAAAGTCAAAGTCTTTTTGGAAATATTTTTGTTTGGTGTTTGTATTTCCTTTGCTATGGTTTTTTTATTTGTATTTTTTATCTAATGTTTTCCGTCTGAGAAAGCCTAAACTCTTGAGCTATAAAATGAACTTTATTGTTCATTACATTGTCTTGAATTTCCAGAAAACCGCTATTATTCATAACCGATAGTTCTTTCAATATTTAATTTCAAATTCACTTCACATCATTTCTATAAGCGTTCCACTTCAAGGCGAATTCGGAATGTGAAAACGGACGAGCGCCGGATGATCGTTTGCTAAAACAGTGGGAAAATGTGCAAGAACTTCCGGGAACTGCTTGTTTGTAACATCGAGCACTTATATGACACAAAATCGAATCTTCATCCAATCAGAGATTTTACACTGTCATATATCCCTTCAATTACCGTAAACATTCTAATCGAAGACTAACCAAACCGCTAACTTTGAGCTCACATATCTCACTTCCTGCAAAACATATCAAAAAGTAATCAACTGACCAAATATGTAACATTATAAAAAACATATTTTGTCACTTGATTACTTTTTGATATCTTTCACAGGAACTGAGATAAATTGGCTCAATTTTCCGATCAACTAATGATCCGTCAAAAAATTGCCAATGGTCCGTTTGCATCGTTCAGATACCAACTTATCATTTTTCGTCTTCTCGCCGCCACTCTAACGACTACCATTCGAATTTGCTTTTCCTTCAAGGCAGAGCGTTCTCACCATCTCCACCTCCGCATGCAAAACGAATTATAAAAATGCGAATTTTCCGCCTAGAAAAGAATGCAGACCTTCCCTGATTTTCCATTCTTTCCCCGTTTAGAATGCGGGCTCCCACCTTTTTCTTATTGTTCCTCTTGATATGTATTACTCCCTGTTCCAATTCTGCTGTAACAAAGAACATTGTCCAGAATCATATCAAAACGTATTTAAAGTTCAAGCTTCTCAAAGTTCATAGTTGTTTTTAGCATTGCTGACTTTTCTGTTGATCCGTGTGATGACTTCTACGCGCACGTCTGTCCAATGGGAACTACAAAACAAGATTTTCTATCGAGTATCTGGGAAACAAAACGGCAAATTGTTAGAGATTATAAATTCGAACATCCTGAAAATCTTTATGTAAATGATTTTGTGAGTTCAAGAAGCTGTTCGATTGGATTTTTAAAGTACTTTTTTCAGAGTACTGATAAGACAAGAAAAGTGTCAGAGATCGTAACCCAATTCCTTCATTCCGACGAATCTTTAACTTTGTGAGACGAATATGAACTACTCATATGTTTCAAACGAAATATTTTATATGTAATGCTAATCAGAAAATTGTCTCTATTTTCACTCGCCACCTATTGGAATTTAATATTGGAGAAACAGACTCATTGGAAAACTGGAAAAGATCATCATGTGAACAGAAGATGGAAATTGTTAGAAAACTTATCTATCCAACTCAGAAGTTTGTGAGTTTCATAGAATAGTTATGATTCAGTTCAATTCAATATATCCTTATCAATATATCACAGATCTATTCTCGAATGATTATCAGCCAGGCAATGGATGGATCCATCGCTAACTCTTTGATGAAAAAACTGGATAAAAAGTTGAGACAACTTTTCCCAAAGCTTAAAATGGGAGTGCTGAAAGAGTTGAGAAAAACTCCATGGGTAGTGAATAATGGTGCATTGGAAATGTATGAAGATGCTCTTCAGAAAATCAATTTCACAACATTTTCGGATATTCGAAAACCGCTGAAACATGCTCAATCGGTTTTTCTTCGGGCAAAAAATAAATGCATAGATTTGTAAGTTTCTATATTGTTCATCGAGATTCACAGGCTTCTGAATTTCAGAATCCGTGCAAAGTATTCTGAAGAAATCGAAGATGGAATATGTGAAGTTGTAGCTGCGGGAGAAGCGGTACGGTATATCAACAAGCCAATTGAATCCGTTTATCAGAGCGATTTGAGAGACATTTTGACTGACCAAACGGCAGCATTCAATTCAAAAGATGTTAGTATAGAATTGATTTGTCTTCTGAAACTGAACTGAAGCTTTTTTTTTTCAGAATCATATTTACATTGGAAATGACTTTACGTTGCTAGCAAACACTGATTATCTATCGGACTTGGTTTTGAATTCTTCATGAAGTTCGAAAATTTAGGATAATTATTATTTTCAGTACGGTGGAATCGGTTTCTCCATGACCCATGAAATTTTGCACACTCTGGTTTTCGACTACCGCGATTTTGAATCCCACAATTCGTTGGCCGAATTTTGGACAAAAGACGCAAAATGCGTAGAGGAACAAACTCGTAAAACATGTGAAACTTTTCCAACTGTGGTCCGTTCACACAAAACTTCGATATTCGATTTTAGAAGGATATTTTAGACATGTGATGCCAAAGAGACATTTGAAGAAGACGCTGCTGACCTAGCTGCCTACCGTATCGTTTGGAATTTGTATAAGAAGGCGTACACAAGAAAAACTGTTGTAGAGAAATATGAGGATTTGGATAAGAAACAACTATTTTTCTACGGTGCTGCGGTTGTTTTTTGCTCACCGGTAAGAATACGATTTCATTAAAATTCTCATTTTAATTCACGAGATATTCTTATACTTTCAGAATGGGATGGAGAAATATTCACATCACGACACTACCCATTCCAATGTCTATCAAAGAGTTAATTCTTTGATGTCCCAAATGGATGGGTTTTCTGAGGCTTTCAAATGCAAACCGAGGGAAAGAATGGTCCGGAACAAAGCGAGAACTTGCGAGTTGTACGGCTCCAAAGCTGAAAGGAAGAAAAAATTTCATTAACTAAATGTGATTTCGAACTCCTGAAATAAACTTTTTCTTGTCACATTTGTCTCCTCTCTGCACCAAGAAGATACGAACCAACACCTCTCTCCTCGTTTTTGCCTCTCTTTCGCCGCTACACCACCTCCTGCATTTCTCGTCGTCTGCGTCTATTCAAACGGGCACTCTCTTGTGGCCGACGCGGGCCTCGATTGATGTCGGTACATAAAAATACATAAGAGGCAAGACAGCGCAGTGTTCGTCGGTTTTAACCCAGTTACTCAAGGTACGCTGGAGTTCCGACCTTTCGCAAGAAAGTGTTGAACAAATCATAATTTTTGGAACGCTCTGCTGGGGTTATCCGGCAGGGCAAAAATGACTGAAAAATAACGAATACGGATGAAATAGATATTTCGAAATTGAGAAAAAGATAATTGAGGTTCCGTAACGGATTTTTCCGTTCCCGATGGAAAGAACTTTGTATTTCTGTAAAACAAAAACGCATCATGTTTCTTCGAGAGTGATCATACTGGAAAAGAATAAAAAATTGCATCTGGTTGCTCTAATAAGCCAAAAACTTTTGTAGCAAAAACCCGATCATGGCCCGACCTTGGACTGGATGGAGTGAAAGCTGTCCACAGAATTTGATATGATAATAGACATGAGGAATGCGTTGGCAATTGATCAGGTGAGATTTTCTCCGGAATTCGCAATCGGAAGTAAGTTAAAATTGGGGTCACATAGAATAGTCAAATGAATACGGATTTTTGAAAGACTTTTAATATCCATGTTTTTCAACTCTGGAAAAATAATTTTTCATTTGTTGTTATAACTGTTAACACATACATCGAAGAACAGAACTATTCTGTACTGGCTCGAAACTCAAATTTTCATTACCCCCTAACAGTTGTGCCTGAAACTGTTATCAATGGTGTTGGGAAGACAGTGTTATCAATTAACAGACGCAGGAACTGTGAAAAATATACAAATATGTCATATTTGCCAACTATGGAATCAATGAATATATTTATCTTTGGGGGTCTACTCTCGTTTTGTAGTGAGCTAGTACTTTTTTGAGGAAATTCGAAAAAAGTACTAGAGTTGAGTATCTAGTCTTCTTTGATTTTGAATAGGACTTGATTAGTGTTATCAGTCATTTTGGTGTGATGACGAATTCAAAGTTCTCGATTGTACTGATCATTCCTTGTCTCATTTCTTCCAAAGCTTTTGAAAATGGACAAAATAATATATACTCGGGGAACAATTTCATAGGTCTGTATTTATTTTTCTATAACACGAAATGAGTGAATCTATCTTCGAAACCCCTTAATTTCTAGAAAAGTGACTCTTTTTTTTCGTTTTGTATAGCTATCACAATTTGAAAGGGATTTGAAAAAATGATTTCTAGCAATTTCCGGAAATTGATTCTCTAAAAATTCTAAAACGTTTGAAATTTCGAATTTTCAAACTCTGAATTTTCCACACATTTGAAAATTCGGAGTTTGAGTTTTTAAGAAATTGTAGAATTTCTGCTTACCTTAATTTTTTTTAAATTTTCTTGAAATTTTTGGAACTTTGGAAATTTTTTAAAAATAATGAGATTTCTAAATTTCTGATTTTTTTGGAGTTTTGATTCTCTGAATTTTTCAAATTTCCGATTTTTTGATTCACAGCTGTATTTTTTCTGTAGTTATTTTTCTGGGACATCCAAAATTTATGTCATAGAAAATCAACCATCTCTTCAGCATATAAACACCTGCTCGTCTAATCTAATCCGTTGTATTTGTCTCCATGACAACTACTTGTTTCCCGTCTATTCTTCAAGAATTCCGTTGTTTCTCTAAATCTCTCTGTTGAAATTTTTATGATTTCAATTCGGATGAAAAAAACGACGGGCTTTGTTTCCATAGATTCTCCTTAAAGTTTTCGTTTCTTCATATTTTTGTTGTTGGTCTTTCAATCAAAAACATAGATATTCAAGCTTCGGGTAGAACCAGACGATAAACTTTCAAAAGATCTCTGGGGTTTGCTTTCTTATGCTAATATTTCCGAAAAATTATAATAACCGATGTTTTAGTATTGTGCGCTTGTATCAATGGTCGATGAAACCACAGTTTGATGGCCTCTCCGAAAACTGTTACAGCATCATTTTCCTCCTAACCTATTCAATCAATTCAAAACTTTTCTTATTTTTTTTTCAAAATACATTTTTCAGATGAGGAGTAAAATTCGATATCAGCTTCTCGACCAGGCGGGTGCTCCGAGAAATTTCCGATTATTATGGTTGTTTTTATTTGCTGTGGCTTGTTTTGTTGCCTATTTCTTACTTTCCTCTCCATCTACAAACGGGGTTTTCAGTAAGATTTTTAATGTTCTAGATCATTCTTATTCAACAATTTTCAAAATTTTCCAGATCCACTAAAACCAGATGCAAGAAATCCAATAACCTATGAGCAAGTGATGAAAGATTTGAGAAATGAAATTGATCAGAGAAATGTGATAATCAATGAATTACAGCAGGATTTGGAAAAGATGGAGCTGAAAAATGATTTCGTGGGTTGCAAAGCTACGGTTAAATAGGACTCTGAACAAACACATTGGTACATTTGAATGCTAAAAAAGATAAATTAGTCGGAGTCCTCTTTAATTTCTCTCGATTTATTCAAAATTTCAAACAATTCAAATTTCAGAAAAATCTATACAGGAGAAGACCGGAAACAGATCACGTTGACTGTGGAAGGATTCTATCCGGAGACAAGGTATTCAGAAGAAGAACATCACTTGGATTCAAATCCATTTCATTTTCAGGTTTATTTAGAATCAGTTTCTGGAAAGAATCGTATAAAAATAGTGGAAAATGATCAACTGGATATGTCTTGTGCAGCCATTATGAATCGTATTTTACCACCTGGATCAAATTTGAAGCCGTTGAAAAATGGAGTTGCATTTGCTAGAATTGTTTATGCAGATTACGAAATGATTGAGAAACAAATTCAAATGTCCTACCACCCACAAAATTCATTTTGTTTCGCAATCGACAAAAAAGCTCCGCCCCAATTCCACGAGAGATTGAGAGTAATGGCAGCTTGTCTTCCAAATGTTCTACTACTTCCTGGTAAATTTGAAATCGACTTTCTCTAGAAATTTTTTTCTTGCAGATGAAGAATCAGTGGATTCAGCCGGCCATAATATCAACTCTGCTCACTACAATTGCATGCGAGTTCTGATCAATAAACCTGGATGGAACTATGTGATTCTTCTCCAGAATCATGATCTCATCACAAAATCCGTATATGAGTTAGAGCAGGTATATGAATGGCTCGGTGGGGCAAATGATGTGGAGATTACCCCAGAAGCAGGAAGACTCGATAACAAGTTCAAATGGGATCCAAAGTCATTGAAGATGTTTAGAAATGGTATGGTTTCATAAAATGTTGATTATGAAAAACGAATATAAAGCTAACTAGTATTTCAGCAACCGGAATAGACGAAGTGATCTTGAATGGGAAAATGAAGTTTGCCAAAGGAGCCGCCCAGGGATCTCTATCGAGGGCTGCTGTTGATTGGATGGTACGGACCGCCGATTTGACAACTTATATCGACCAATGGAACAAAGGAGTGAGTCGATTCGCAAAGTAGTTATCCTAAAAAAAAGCTATTTCCAGGGATTCGGAGTAGATGAGCAATTTATCCAGAGTTTCCAAGTTAGCTCAGATCTTGGTATGCCTGGTCATTTCACAGATGAATGTTTGAAGCAGGGAAAGAAAGCAGACTTTGTATCCAGGTTTGTAATGCCCTACGAGCTTAAAACAAGTTATGAAACCTCTAGAATGTCACAATGGAAATATGGAGATTCGGATAAATGTGGATCGAAGACGGTTCGTCATGCGATATGTCTTTTAGGCATTGAAGATTTCCGAACACTAGCTGCATATCCTAATCTTATGTTTAACAAAGTGAGTGGCCGAAAATTGAAACAGATCAAATTATTGTATAATTTAGATGATTCCATCGTTTGACTATGCAATCGTAGAATGCTCCGCAGAATTGCTTCATAATCGGACGTTTTTGGGTCAAGAAGATCATAAGCTAGAAGAGGATTATTATAAAAATATGATTAATGTGAGTAAGAATTGAAGATTTTTTGAAATTATGACGAGATTACAGGTTTTGTATCACAAGAATCATCTAGATCCGAACTTTAAACTAGAATGCACTCCATCGTACACGAAGTGGGCAGCTAGAGATTATCCATTATAACAATTATCTTTCTTTTTTTTTGAGAAATCTAATTTGGTTGTTGAGTTTTTTATAATAGTTTTTTTATAATAGGGGTTCTAACGGGTTTCACACTAGTTAGGCGAGATAAATTATTTTTTGGTTTACGTTTTTCTTGAGAATGTTAACCTCCAATTATTAAAAGGAGCCTAGTCAAAAAATTTTTATTCGTCAGGTTTTTGAATATTCTGTAAAAAGATCATGAATATCAAAAAATAAAGTATGTTTTTGTATCATTTTTCCTGGGTTATTTGCTACATTTTACAGAAATGCTTGACATTTCATCTCTATTTTGAAGAAAATCACAGTCAAAAAACAAAAACAAAATAGATTTATGGCCACCACCGTACTTGGTGGTATTTCAAAGGAATGGAGACTGGGAACTTTCAGATGAAGGTACCACTATGACTGTCGCTCTGTACCAGAGACCTAATTATAGAAATTGAATGTGACAGTCAAACGAAATAAGGAAAAATGATCAATGGTTACTACCACTTTCTTTTTCAGCCCCCGTATTCTCCGAACCTTATACTTCTGGACAAATGGACTTTTGAAACTCTTAAAGAAGGGGGAGGATAGGAGATTTTTTCGGAGATTCTGTGGTTTTTTTGGCGCCACACCTTCAATACTCGCCTCACAAGTTCAGCTTCTCGAGCGGAATTTAAAACGGATAGACGGAATTTCGAGACAATTATTATTTCATTTTCCTTCCACCATAAACGTCATCTTGATAGAAAAGACTTCGAGTGAAAAAATTCCTATGCAATCGTAGAATGCTCCGCAGAATTGCTCCATAATCGGACGTTTTTGGGTCAAGAAGATCATAAATTAGAAGAAGATTATTATAAAAATATGATTAATGTGAGTTCAAATGGAACATTTGTTCGAACAATGACACGATCAGGTTCTGTATCACAAGAATCATCTAAATCCTAACTTTAAACTGGAATGCACTCCATCGTACAAGGAGTAATTTGCGAGAGATTATCCACTATAACTAATTATCTTTTTTGGGTAAATCTAATTTTTTTAGAATGAAATTCAAAGATGTTTTGTACTAGTATACAATTTTTCGTGAAGAATTTCATCAAAACTTTTATTCACAGTATCCCAAATGATAATTAAAAAAGTTCTGATCAAACAAATACATATGCGCCACAGGTTTCTTCCACCAAGACCCTTTCAAACAGTATTCCGTTTCTGGTTGATTACAAATCACATAATTATCAACAGCCATGTGACTTCCATAGAATATTTCAAAACTGTTGTGATGGGCGGTTTCGATAGTTTGAGATATTCTAAACGGCGAGTCTGGAACAAAATCACCATCTCGGACCACTCGGAATTCTTCGGAGACCTAAAAACTGTAAAATATTTTCGAGTCCCGTATACAGACTTACATGTTGCCGCAATAGCTTTACGAACGTTTCATCTCCAGACCTTGGCGCAGATACGGAGTAGAGACTTGTCAGCTTCTGCGGGTACTTCATTGCCACATGTAGTGCAAATACTGTAGACATGGCACCACCCAAAGAATGTCCAGTAACCACCAAAGAATACGTTGGATACTTTATGACAGCCTTCTCCAGACAATCATCGAATCCAAACTCCAGAATCTCTTTGTACATTCTGGAATAGATTGCAACCATTTTTCCGCCCAATGGGAAATCCTCCATCCATCCCATCATGAAAACATAGAACTGTGAAACAAATTGAACAGGATCGTTTGTGGATCGGAATCCAATGAAAATGTGTTGAAGATCGTGATTGACTCCGATCAACACTCCAATTGTTCTCTGGAAATTTGAAAAGCTATTTTTTAAATTGCATTTTACCAGAATACAGGTGAAAAGTTCAGCGTTTGAAAAACTCTAATTTTTAAAATTGTAGGATACAACCATTATAAACTGATTAGAAATAAATAGAGTAAACCTACACTCACCCCTTCAAGTTTTGTCGGAACATCCAGCTCATTCAGAACGTCGACTCTTGCTTTTAACTTCATCAGACATGACATTGGTGCTCCAACGGGAGAATACTCACTGACTCGATTTGCTGCATGAATATATGCGGCCACTTCCGTTCTGAAAAAAACTGTCCTATCGGATACAATTTCGCTCAATTAACCTCAAAAACGTATCACTATAAGTGGTCGGAATCTTTGAGAGAGGACAGTTTATATCGTGGATAACCGTCTTCCAAGGATGACATAAATATTTCGACGGGACGCACTCATTTGATTCTAAGCACCATCTGAAAATAGATTAGTGATTTCGACAGAGCACAAAAAAAAGTCAAATTTACCTACAACTAATACCACTGTCAACAATTCCAGCACAAGTCTCACACGATGTAAACTGACTGCATTGATTCAATTCGAGGTTTTTGACAAATACTAATAATTGAGTCATGAATATGAAAAGAAAAACATCTCTCATATTTGATAACATGAATAGAAGCGAAAAAGAAAAGAAGTGGTAAAAAGAAAGCGTCTGTTAGAGGCGGCAGGTATTCAATTAGTTTTTTTTCTTTTTCAGCTGTCCAGTTGGGGATTTGAAGAAGAAAAAGAGAAGTTAGGTTGGCAGAGAGCTGGTAAAATATCAATGCTGAATAGATTGATAAAATGGAATTGGTAATGTTCTAAAAGTTATTAGATTGGTTTAGAGTTAAAATTCGGATGCCGTATTCGCTCTAATAGAAACCCATCTTGTTGGGCTCTATTACCTCGGTTCATATGAGAGATATCAAAAAAACCTCCAAATGATAAATTGTTTATCATAATTACACCAATATTTTGTCAGTTGACCACATCTTGATATCTTTTCCGGAAACTGAGATAAATGACTCAAATTTGAAAGATTTCACTCTATTCGAGTGTTTAGGGCATTTTCTTCACACAAATGGGATTTGCGAGTTGGAAGCTTTTGAAGTTAGAAGCCTCGGAATGTTGTCTTCTGTGACAGACTCTGTGTTAAAATTCTGAAAACGATTCTGTGAATTTTTATCATATTTTGTCATGCGTCCAAAGTTCAAGCCAGAGATGCACGGACAGTCCGTTTTCCGTTGTTCGGCCGTTTGTGGCTGTCTGTTGTCCGTTGAAAAAAAAGAAAAATTGAAGCTAAAAGTTTGAAAAGGTACTAAAAATGGTGGATGAGCTCCGCTTCATTTTCCATCACTATTTTCCATCGTTAATTTGCACCATCTTCATTTTTTATGGAAATACCGTATTTGCTCTGATAAAAGCCATCCTTGAGCTCAATTATCTCGATTCCTTTGAAAAGTATTAAGAATCTGTCAATTGATAAATAATTGGCTCTTGTCAGTTTTGAAAAATTCTGCGCATAGTTCGGCCGTTGTTGGCTATCAGTTTTCCTAAAAAATTACAGGCCCACTTCATTTCAAAAGTGTTCATCTAACTTCTGGAAAACATATATTGTTTGTGAATACTCAAACCCAATTGTGTTTTACGATTATTCTGAACGTTATCGTAAAATCTAAGGCCTTGAAAACAACAAATATTTACAAGAAACCTTGAATTTGCCCAATGATGTCTTTTTTCCACGAGACGAGGCACACAAGCAACAAACATTCAAATAGAGTCTGCATCACATCATCTCTCAACCTTCCTTGTTTTCCTTTCCTGTTTTTTTTCAAATAAAATAAAACTTTCGTTTCTGACCATCACAGTATCCATTATGATCATCCTATGTGCCCTACTTACCCGTTTCACATGACTGCTCCTCTCAGCAGAACGGAAACCAATGAAAACCGAAGAGAACAGAATATATAAGAAGATGATACAGGTAAATCCAACCTGATTTGGTTTTTTGCTGTTGACGGTTTTCGCATATTTTACTTTCAGTCCCTAACCAGAATTCTAGTAGTCAACTGACAAATTGTTTATCATAACTTCAAAAATATTTTGTCAGTTGACCACCTTTTGATATTTTTCACAGGAACAGGAAAATGATATTTTTCACAGGAAATTGGCTCAAAGTTGTAAGTTAGGGGCTCATCCTATCCGAGTGGTTACCTATCCGAGTGGTTAGGCTCATCCTATCCGAGTGGTTAGGTTTCAATTATTTCACTGTTAGCAACCAATTCTTGTTAAAAGGCTGAGTGATCAAATTCAAAGTGTATCTATCAGTGATGGAAGGCATTTCTGTATCCTTTTCCGTTTTGAGCTTTCCGGATGGTTTTGGAGATTTTTTTCCGTTTCCGTTTTCCGGAAAATTCGTCAATTTTTCAGCGGATGGAAAATTTCGGAAGCAACAAAACATCCTAGTATTCACGCCATCTGTTGAATCTTTTTTCTGATATTACTGATCTATATGTACAGAACTACGTGAGGAAAATCGACTTGTTCACTTTTCCTCCCTTCCTTTCCCAATAATCCCGTGTCTTTGCAATTTATCTCTTTTCGGTCTTCTTCATCTTCTTTACTCAACAAAATACATTCACATGTCTCTCTCATCCGCCCTTCATCTTCTATTCACACCCGTTCTTTTTCTTTTATCCTCTTCTGTATACTGTACTGATAAACAGTGATAGCGCTTTGCGCCGACGCTGACTAACTAGGTCAATCAAAACACCAAGTGATTATTCTCTTCAAGTGATGATCTATAATACTTCCGATTGAATAGAGGATCGGCTAGTTTCGAAGCTGACCGATTCATGGCTAGTATTATGTTTATGAGAGGATTATTGGTTTACTCTTTTCGAAGTGTTAGTATATTGTTCTTGTTGGAACCCATTAAAAATATTGACCTGTACACTTTTTCGAACTATAGGAATCACCATACTTGCAAACCGGGCCCTGCCATAGATTCTTTTTAGAATCGATATTTTTGGAGCAACTAAATTGGATACGATGAAACTCGACAAATACTACAAAATGATATTATTTTTAAAGCCATTTTGTAGGATTCGTCGAGTTCTCCCAAAGTTAGTTCAGTCGGTCCAAAATATCGTTTCTGAAAGAAGCTATGGCAGGTCCCGTTTTACAAGTATCTTTTTCTAAGCTAAAATCAACCATTATCCAATTTGGAGAACCTACAACTTCCGGATATCTCTCCAAATAAAAATAAATGTTCTCTATTATTTTGAACATTCTTCATCCGGAATCTCAAAATACCTCATCAACCGAAGCGATAACAATCGGCTATAGATCAATTTTTTGTTTTGTTGATTCTCAAATTCAATAAGTTAAAGTTCTTTTCAAAACGTTCATAAGTTAGAATCACGATCTTTCACCAGCTCTCCCGAATAACAACTTCCTATTTTTGATTTATAAGGATCAGAACTCCCAGAACCACCATCACCACGTCATTTTCCTTCCTATTACCTTGTTACCATCGATACCAATCTCTTACAGGTAAAAACAGACGACAAAAAACCAACCATCTGTTTCCATTTTCCTTGTTTCTTGACAAAAATAATCTCGAATTTCCATCTTGTCTCACTTTTTGTTAGGAGTACCAGTCAAAAGTCTTGAATACCCAAATAACCCGTTCTTCGTCTTCTTTTCCTTGTTTGAAAATATCTTGTCTCTTTCCTTTCCCTGTCCGAGAATGATTCTCCATTCAAAAGACTTCATGATCACTTCTGGTGCACTTTTTTGGAAATGGTAACCTTGTTCTCTTTTTTTCTTTTTTCTTCCACCCATTTTTTCTTTTTCTATCTTGTGATTTCATTCATTTTTGAAGGTCGCATTCTGATTGTCTTCCTCCTAATCCAAATCGTTAACCCAACCCATACAGTATGAATCAATCCGAACGAGAATTCGTTAATTTTCTTCGAAGTGAGGTGAGTTTTGTTTATGTTGGAAGAATTCAGAAACCGAGACGGTTCAGATGGTATCAATTGTCATGTGAACATTTATTTACTGTATTTTGGTCTAGAATCATATACGTGTGTAGTTTGGGAGACAGAATTTGAAGGTTGTGATGTGATTAGGAAACTGTTTATTTCGAAACGCATTTGTTCGTTCTCAGTTTGCCGAGGGATGGTAGAACTAAAAACCTTACGCATGAAAATCATTCAAAATAATGAAGAGTTTGAAACGCATTGAGTTCTCAGTGGTCCTGCGATAAACACTCTAATAGAATACCATCCAAGTCATCAACTTTGAGTCAATTTATCTAGTTTCCATTAAAAAGTAACATAAAGTGGTTAAATGACAAATCATTTTTGAGATTATGCTAAAAATTGTATCAGTTGGTCACTTTTTGATTTCTGCCATAGGAAACGAGATATATGGGTTCAAAGTTTTGAGGAATTCTGTCAGAGTGTCTACGGTAACTATGTATTTTGAAGTTATCAATCAGGAATTCACTTTGGCATCAACTTGTGAATTACGAGTTCAATTGAATTAAACTTTCAAAAAGCTTAAATGACAGAATTTTGATTACCATTTTGCCCATTCACTCACAACTCACAAATCATTCAAAAAACTGGAAAACACCACAAAAGTCAAAATTAATTTGGATTATAATAAGTTAACATTGTATATATAAGACGGTAGAAATTTTAAGAATTTTTTTCTCATTTCTGAAAAACCGGAATTTCT